TTAATGCAGGTAATTAAAGATAATAATGATTAAAATGGCTTGATACTGTCCGGCTATGCTAAAAGGCCAGTTCATAAGAAATATCGAATAAAGAAAGCCGCATAGCATATAAACCACGTTGAAAAACAAAACAAAAAAACAAAAAAAAAAACAAGAAAATAAAAACAAAAAAAAAAAAAACAAAAAAAAAAGAAATGAAAAGAAAAAAACAAAGAGGAAAAAGCGAGGCAAAAAATACTCCAACTGCTTGGAATAATCTTTATGTACATTCAGTGAAGCGAGAGTTCAATAATAAAAATGTCTTAACGATACCTGCACTTCTATTATGTATTCGCGAGTCGAATATTATGCCAAAGCGAGCTTAGCTCACTTACCCAGAGCATTTTACATGGCCCATGGTCTAATTGAATATTTCCATAGAATTGAAATAAGCGGCTGGCGACAACGCCGAGTGTTGTAAGTTGCAAGTGAAAATCGATCGAGCGATAGAGGAGAAATGCACTTGCGCAGCTAGTTAGGAGGAATATTCTTCCACTTGTTATTATTATGGGACGGTAGACCTCCACGACTAAAAGCATAATCGAGGCACGCGCGCGTGTATCTGTGACTTGTCTTGCGTTTTCGCCAGAGGAACATTGAGATCCTTACACTGTAACCATGGGTCAGTGGGAAGGTTGTCCCGATGGCTGCAGGAATGTTGGAGAATGTGTTCGTGGTTGTGGTAGTCCATTGAGGTTGAGACTGATGGGGGGGTGTTGTCTTACCATGCCGCTGCCAAATTGTTGAAGCAGTCCAGAGCTCTGGTGAGGGGAGTTGGAGGTGACCGAGGGACGCCGTGAGCCGCGTATGCTGGTCATACTTGTCGATAGGAGATATGGGAAACTGTTGCTTCCTATCGAGACACCGCTGCCCTGTAAACCAGGCGGTTCGAAAGCCCTCTTATTTCCTCGTTTTTCCGTACTATTTTACTATTATAATTGTTGCTTCTCGGAGGATCGATTCGATATTGGGGAGCTACGCCAATCGGTATTTCTGGAAGGCGGTAGAGATGGGTGGGGGGGGGGGGGGGGGGGGGGGGGGGGGGGGGGGGGGTAGTGGTGGTGGTGGAGATGTACTCTTAGCCGAACTAATGAACCAAGCTTCTTCTGCTTCTTCATCGAGAGCTCGAAAGTGCAAAGAAATTTGCTAAATTCTAAAAAATCAGCCTCTCGCACTTGCTTTAACGTCACTTTCATCTATCAATTTTTTGTTTTTGTTTTTGTTTTTTTTTCTTAATTAATATCAATTATTTAATATTAATAATAATTACTTTTCAGTTGGTGAAAATGAGCTATATTACATATGAAACATATGAATTATTCATTGGGACGCTCAATTTCCTGAAAATATGGTCGAATGAATTTTTGTGGCTTAACGAGGCTTAATCTATTATGAGATAATATTAATATAAAAGCTGATGAATAATATTGAAAATATCGCACGAAGCTTAGTGACAATTAGTCGTGTTTGTACATTATGAAAAAAAAAAAAAAAAAAAAACCTCTGCAACATTAATCGAATAATAATTATAAATAGTAAATAGATACACAAGCACTGATTTTATTTCATTTAAAAATTTTAAATTATATTAGCAGCACTTACGTGTGTAGAAGATTATTAGCTAATTTATAAGTTATGCCACGTGGACATAAAAATTCCAAATTTTACACGAAATTACGGAAACGACGATTGACTTACATAATCTCCAAACTGAAAAGGATTTCATATTCACGTTTCTACAAGAACACAAATGTGTTTGCATTATAATATTAATGTATCATTACACACGTATATATATATATGTGTGTGTGTGTGTGTGTTTAGGATTCTGAGTATTGGAAATTTATCTCGTACCAAAATGTGCAATATGAAATAATAAAAGTAATCAAAAGGCATACAAACTTTATTCTTCGTTGATTTCACGATTTGCAGCAATTTCCTTATCTTACAAGAAAGCAAAGAAATTTTGTTAAAGAAACATTTTTCTTAATAATTTGCGTGCTTTGCATTGGATGATAATCGAATCGCGATGCGAGCGTCTTATCGATAATTTTACAACGGCATCGCGACCTGATTTGATCAAGAATCTTTAAATCTCGGATCTATTATTAAGATGCCTTGTGAATTATCAATCACACTATGTTGAAAAGTGCGCCTCTCAAATTTGACGCGATAAACAAACGCTTAACTCATGCTAGAAACATAGCGTAGCAGGCGATAGGCCCGCCCGCATCGAAGGCGCAATTATTAATTAATGAAAGGAATTCCCAAAGCATTTAAATTTTTAATAAATTCAGTCCAGCCAAAAATTCCATGAAAAGTGCGAGGAGTACGGGGCAAGATTTTAAATTTAAAATTTAATTGGAAAAACTTTGCATATTAAAGCCCGAACGATCGTAGAATAAAACGGTGGAGCGTGAATTTGGAGAAGAGCTTCGTCTTGATTCCCCCCCTCCCCTCCCGCCACTCCCGTCCCTCCCGCCACTCGTTGCGCCTCCCACGCCGCAGCCGCTGCCACAACCATCACCCATGAATAATTCTCGAATAATTCTCACCAAAGCACAAGGCTCGTATCGTAAGGCTCGCTTCAGGCTGCGCTCTCCTTCCCCAAGGCTTAACGCCGCTCCAAGCACAAAGCTAATAAACACAAGTGGAATATAAGAGAAAGTGCAGTAGCGCCTTACCGTCGGCGGTGAAAGATTAATGTTCGATCCACGCCGCTCCTGGGGGCAAGTACTTGAATGTCGTCGTATCGGGAGTCCGCCTCCAGGTGTGCCACCCGGGGAACTCGCGCACGAGGGCGCGATCTTAATCTTAGGTGTCATTAGGCTGTTATCGGAGAGTCTCCGGGTCATGAAGCTGCCCACGTTCAGGAAGTTGCCCTCCCCGTTGGCCGACGAGGTCGATCCGAAAAACCAGTTGCCGGCCATACCTATGGCACAGAGCCGCGAGTTTGCTGGCATTAGTCGATTGTACTGGGGTAGCGCGGTAGAGCGAAACGAGGCCATCCTCGACTCCTCGATTTCGTCGGGGTGTGCATAATAATTATTTTTGCGGCTAATTTCATTAAGACGTGCTCTGACTTACACTGGCCATTAAAGCTGATAAGCAAGTAGTGCGCATACATTATTTACGGACATGCGCTCGCCCCTCTCTATAAACTATGCTAATTTATTATTAAAAGGCTTGAAAGTTTGTAATTCAGGCTCAAAGACATTAAGGTCTTGTCTTGGCTGAGCTCAAAATGTCACGAGGCGATGACGCTCCCAGTAATGAGTACGCGTCGTTTATCAGTTTGTCAATAGCGCTGATTTATATTGCGAGTTTTTTGTGATTTACGATACACACTTTTCTATAAATAACTAATATATACCTAGAAATACCTTTTGTTAAATTAATATATATTGGCTATTGGCTGAGATGAGGTAGGCACAATGACCGACTTTTCATAGGAAATAATTTAATTGTCTTCAATGTAATGCGGTGTAATGTATTTCATAGAGTTCAAAAGGGAGAGGGAAAATAATGGATACAAAATAATCCTGTCTATTGTAGTTGGACGGAATCGGAATCGAGTTATAGTCTTTTTATTGTTTTTCATTCTTTTTTCTTATTTCTTTCTTTTTTTGTTTTGTTTTTTTTTTTGTTTTGTTTTTGTTTTTGTTTTGTTTTCTTACTGTTTATACAAAACTCATTAAGAACTCGCTTTCGTTTAAATGAATCCCAGTCCCTTTTAATGACCCCTCGCTCCCGCCCCCCCCCCCCCCAAAAAAAAAAAAAAAAAAAAAAAAAAACATTACATTTTTTTATCTGACACTATAATAATCCAAATAATTAATATACTTAATTTTTCGTATTATAGCAATAAAAATACTTTTATCATTTTTACAATTAAACATATTAATTAAAAAATTCATATGATTGTGTTAGATAAAGTTAATGCGAACTGTATATCTCATAGGAGAAATAAAAACAAAATGTCAGTAAATTCTGGCTCTATGAAGAAAGTTGAGAAAAGAAAAGGAAATTTTTTCAGTCTTCGTTTTGCTTAATTTAATAAATTCATTCGCTACATTTACTAATGTCGTTTTTCTTTTTCTTTTCATTTTCATTTGCGTTAGCCAATATGAGAGTGTCAGGTTAATTCGCGCTATAAAAACATAAAGTTTCAAATGCTTAGATAATGAATTTTAAATATTAATAATAAATATGAAAGATATAATATTTACCGAAAATAGAATTCTTTCTTGCCATGTTTTCGGTAGAGGTCGTCGCTGATATGGAACCTAAGATAAAACGTTCAAGGCGAAAAGATACGGAATTCAACAATTGTTTAAAATAATAAATGTAACGAACGCATTATCGCAAAATCTTACCGATTGAATTTTTCCTTGCCATATCCTCAGCCGATGATGTTTTCCTTTGCTCGACTCGTAGATTTGGAATATTGAAGGGAGGCACTTGCATGTTGTCAGTGCTATACTGATGACGCAATGGACGGTGTCTTTCCGGACTCGGAATCGACAGATTGTCAAGCTTTAATTTGTTCCTCTGGTTTCTTTAATTTTTTCATATAAAAAGTCAACACAGCACCAATGCAAGTTCAATTATAATATTAAATTCCGAATTAGGAAAATAGTAAAAGTAGTAATAATTATTATTTGTATACGTAACATTAATGTTAAAAATTCTTTCTTTCGTTTCCTATTGTTAATGTATGGAAATTTCTCTGGCCTATTTGTGGAAAATTCATTTTAGGAAAATACTACAAGAAATATTTGGTATATATTACATTCGAATAATAATACGGACTCTGTATTTGAATGTTTAAAATCAAAACATAATGTCATTAACAAACGTATTATCTTTAATTATGGCCATATTAAGTAATCATTATCTCGGTATAATTCAATTAGATATAATAATAAAACGTATAGAAAATGTCGTATGTAATATTTAAAGAATTGAGCAAATCATACGCAAACAAACAATATTAATATTAGTAAGTAATGGGAGTGGAATAATATTTATAACAAAATCTAATGGTAATCATATGAATAACAGCACATAATTATAAATCGAATAGTTAAAGTTGTAGCGTATTATGTACGATAAAATAAGTAAAATGTATGAAAATTGAAGAAAATGTTTAAAGACTACGTTGGCGTGCTTGGAAAGGCAATAAAATCATCTCTTATTTGTATATTCTCTTTATGTCTTTGAAGTTATAAAAATAATTCGTTTATAGGGTGGGAAGCATATAGTCGAGGGCAAAAAGTCATAAACGCGAGAACTAGATAAGGATTTTCACTTTATGGGTGCCTTTAAATTGCTTAAGTAACATAATACAATACATTTGCACGATTAAGATTTATTAAGAAGATAATTATTACTTTTATTTTTTTTTTTTCATCTAAATGTGCACGAAAATAATACTTATGCATATATGGCAATGCGTGCAATTGTGAAAATATTAATTTTCCATCTTTCTGCGTCACTTAAGAATTATATCCAGATGTATTAAACAATACTTAGCAATGTTAATACGAATTAATATTTATATAAATATCTATTTCTGGGAATAATTTAATATACGACGATTAAAACTTTAATTGCATAAACATAATGCAAATTTCATTCAAACGTTGATGTAATATATATTTATAGTACTTGAAACCAATAGTATTTGCAAATATTTTTAAACAAGAAATTATTTTCCACATATTTCTTAATACGCTGTAATAATTAGCAAAAATTCAAGTATTATAAAACTTAATTGCAACGGTGCATAATATTTAGCTGGATTAATCGTATTTGAAAACAACGAAAGTTGATGAAAAATATTTTATATTGTCCTATAAAATAATTACATTATAATGTAAAATACATTGTCGTTGTCGTTGTTGTTGTTGTTGTTGTTGTTGTTGTTGTTGTTGTTGTTTTTCTTTCTTTTTTCTTTAAGTATAGTCGATATTGCTTTGAAATTAAATTAACGTCTTGAAATTAAAAAGGCATTTAATTATAAATTAATAAATAATAATAATAGAATTAAAATTAACATAATTAACAACAGTTTTAATGATAATTAAATATAGATATTTTTATTATCACGATAACAAATATTATTCCTTTAATTTATAAAAAGTGTAAAACATTTTATCAATTTTTCTTATTTTCTATAATGATATTAAATAATGTACCTTTCTATATGATTGAGCATCTCTTTCAAAACTTCTAGGAGATGTGTAAAGTGCTCAAGACTTAAGCCGGAGTTCACTGTTTGCGGAATTAAGGACGGCATTATATGCGTTGCCATTATATTTACCGGTAATCCATATTTCTTGTCACTAAGCATTAATCTATAGATGCCTGAAATTTACAATACTTATTAGTATTATAAATGAATAGTTGTTATTCAATATTCAATTTAATAATAAAAGCAATTCTTTCGAACCTTTTTCAGAAACAAACTATTTTTTATGCATACGTATATATTTCAGGCGATCCAACAATTTTCGTATAAAATTATAATTTGAAAATGAAAGAATTGGCTGTGAGTTAAAATAAGATGCTAAAAATAGAAATTTTATGTACTATTTATATATTTTTATATGATGAACGTGTTTGTTCTAAAAATAAAAATTTCATATTTAACTTGTTATGAAGTTGTTTTTTCTTCCGATTTTTTTTAGATAAATTTTCATATTTTACTTAATTCCAGGACATCGTCAATATTTTTGACTATATAACAATTTATATTTTACTATATATTTTTAACAATATATTTGAAATAATTTTGACTTTAAGCAATAATATATCCGTTATCTTAACATTATATGATTATTAGTCCAGCGCATGTTGTTATTTAAATCATGTAGTATTTTCAGAATCTACAACACACATTCTCGATTATTAATCTACACTGCCAAAAATAATATCTGCAGAGGATATAATATCCGCTGTATAAGAATGAACGGGAATTCGGGAGAGGAATATTAACCTGTCAGTGAGGACTGCAGCTGAAATTGATTTCGTATAAGCCAAGTATGACCCTCACAGGTAGTGTAATTTACTCTGAGATTGAGAGAGACGAGAGAGAGAGAGAGAGACGAGAGCCGAGAGAGAGACGAGAGACGAGAGAGAAACGAGAGCCGAGAGAGAGACGAGAGACGAGAGAGAAACGAGAGCCGAGAGAGAGACGAGAGACGAGAGAGAAACGAGAGCCGAGAGAGAGACGAGAGACGAGAGAGAAACGAGAGCCGAGAGAGAGACGAGAGACGAGAGAGAAACGAGAGCCGAGAGAGAGACGAGAGACGAGAGAGAAACGAGAGCCGAGAGAGAGACGAGAGACGAGAGAGAAACGAGAGCCGAGAGAGAGACGAGAGACGAGAGAGAAACGAGAGCCGAGAGAGAGACGAGAGACGAGAGAGAAACGAGAGCCGAGAGAGAGACGAGAGACGAGAGAGAAACGAGAGCCGAGAGAGAGACGAGAGACGAGAGAGAAACGAGAGCCGAGAGAGAGACGAGAGACGAGAGAGAAACGAGAGCCGAGAGAGAGACGAGAGACGAGAGAGAAACGAGAGCCGAGAGAGAGACGAGAGACGAGAGAGAAACGAGAGCCGAGAGAGAGACGAGAGACGAGAGAGAGACGAGAGACGAGAGAGAGAGAGAGATGAGAGAGAGATGAGAGAGAGAGAGACGAGAGAGAGAGACGAGAGAGAGACGAGAGAGAGAGAGAGACGAGAGAGAGACGAGAGAGAGATGAGAGAGAGACGAGAGAGAGACGAGAGAAAGAGACGAGAGAATGTATAAGGTTATGGGGACAGAGAACTCTGTTTATATTAAATTGTAGTCAGAAATAAATGTAATTTAAAATTTATGATAGAAATTTATGACAACAGCGGGCGCACAATAAAATTTGTTATTTAATTTTAGCGTAACAAAAATTTTCAAAATATCTAGAGAGAGAGAGAGAGAGAGAGAGAGAATCATATCAAAATAAATGCAATTTACGATCGCATCAGAAAATGTCCTTGATATACTGCAACCGTTGTTACGCGAATATGCTCGAGTTGCGCGCAGCAACAGTTGAGCCGCGTCCCGGTAATTATTATACAATAATAAAAAGAACTCTGCAGATGCCCAGTAGCCGAATTTAATTTTATGCGTTACGTAATGTATCGTTTTGAATAATGCGAACTCGATATTTTGTAAAATTATTTTCCGAGCAGATGAAAATCACAAAGTTCTTACTGGCGTTGTTAGTTCTCATTATTTTTAACATGCTTTGATGATAAAATTGACGTCCCTGCTAGGCAGATCCCTTGTTTCGAATGTGAGCACAAAACTTTGTATTGCACAGACAAAAGAGCGAGCCAGGAGATGCTTAACACGCTTTAACATTATTTTAACAATGGCATTTGTTACTCCAGATTGGCAATAATTTTGCTGCTAAAGGAATAAATAGACTAGGAACTCTAGTTGGATTAACCACTTCACTAAGATTCCAAGGATCTTTCTCACTTACTTACGACCCGCACGATAATTTCAGGCTCCTCGAGTTTGGCCTTCCATAGAAGGGGCAACACGTCGTCGATGATCTGCTGCTTCTCGAGGCGATCGAGGATACAGCAGAGCGCGTTCATGAGGATTCGCTGATCCGTCGTGCATTTCTCGAATGCGAGCTTGAGTTTGGGCAAAAATTTTCTGCGGATGGCCATGTCGTCGATGTAATCTGTGACATTGGCCACCGCAACGAAGGCCGCCGTCTGTAAGTCGAGTAATTCATTCATCCCTTGCACCTGTTGCTCTTCGTGGCTGCTCTTACAACACGCTCGCGTGCTTTCTCATATCCCAGCGTGAGCAATAAATGATAAATTCTAATTTACAGATTTACAAATCGATCCGATAAGATTAAATAGACCGATGCTTAGTTGGAATGATTAGCACCCGTTCAATACATTGGCGTACAAAATTGTTGATTTAATTGCTTATTCCGGTTAACAAAAGCCAAAAACAGCATGTCGAATAGATAATGTATTTGTTGTATGTTTAGCTGTTGTTATTGGTATTGGAAAACTATTTATAGGTAAATTTTAATATAAATATCGGCTCATCTACGATAAAATAAAAAACCTATTTATGCTCGATTTTAATACTATGTAATTAAAAATGCCATTTAACTAGCTTTATTGCATGTAATAATATTATCCAAGATTATATATTTTAGATAATTGAATCAGGATTGGAATAAAAAGAATTTTTTTACACGAGCTTTCATTCAATTAAATTATTTTCGATCTTGTGAAATATGGAATTACTTAATAATTAAAAGGTCCATCTATTAAATTTATTTTGAAAAAATGTACGCACACACACACACACACACACACATATGCATGCGTACATATATATATATATATATATATATATATATATGTATATATATATATATATATATATATATGGAATATTTAGAGTTATTTAATTTCTTTGATATTCCCTATTTATACTTTTAATTATTGATTATTTATAATGTTCAGAAATAAAAGCAATGATTGAAAGTATATTTACGATCTATATAAACGTATATTAAAACTGTAAAGATATAAATTACTTTAACAATTGTAAAAAAAAAAAAAAAAAAAAATAATAAAACAATACTATGTAAAGATGTATTTATGTAATACTATATAATCAATGCACAGTTACCTGGAATTTTTCGATAAAATATTCTCGGTCATTTAGCTGTTAAAAAGCTTGAAAATTTATTATAATCGAAGTGATCAATACTAGAATTTTTATTTCATTATTATGAGTAAATAAAATACAACTTTACGGCTTAATTTAAGGGTTGTGATATTCACGTTCAACTGATTTCCAGCACAGTTGAAAATTTAAGCATTTAAAGTAATTTAGTTAGTTTAGAAGGTAATTTTAGTTAATAGCACAGACAGCCGAATTGGATTTCTAATGACTTTAGAGAAGATTTGTAATTAATGTGACGACACTTTACCTGAATCTGAATGGTATTGCTCTCAAAAGCGTTGTATAGCATCGGCAGTACTTCCCTCGTAATGTCTTCCAGTGCCGTCTTTTCCAGAATAATGTGGAGATTTTCGAGCAGTACGACCGAGCCTTGAATTGATCTTGGCGCCGCGAAAAGCAGCCTAAAGCTCGGCAATATTATGGTCTCGTACTCCTGGATGTTACTGTTCTGGATGATGTGTAGCATTGGTTGCAAAACTGACGCGAAAACCTCCTGGGAGCGTGACTCATACTGCAGATACGGCCAAATGTGTTGGTACCACAGTTTCTGCAAGCCAAGCACTTATCTTTAAAACTTGTGGTAGTCTAAGCTTCGTGTTCCAAGTGTCCCGACGATATCCTGGTGATGTAGTAAAATTCTTCGAGCGGCGACACGGTATTTGAAGTATGGTATCAAATTTTGCAGACAGGGATAAGAAACTTTTTCTAATATTAGTAAAATAACGTATTTTACACCAAGTTATCACCATCAATCGCTTGATTGGGTATTTTATAGACGGATGAGATTGCAAAAGAACCAAAAGAACCGCAATATGAGGGAAAAATTTATGGAAAATTTGAATTGACACGAATTGTAATTTAGCCCGCTAGTTCAATTTATAGATTATAATATGGTAAATTTATGGAAGGAAAGGTTCGATGGCTGGCTTATTTATTATTAAAATACGGTTATTACATCGTGACGTTAATGTTAATTGTAAGAATATTTCATTAAGCTTTCCATTCAAAGTTTGTCAGCTCCCTCATCACCAATCCCCATTGCCAATCCCTTCCCCACTCTTTAATCAAATTTCCGAATAAACTGATATTTCAAGCAAAATTATATGTATTTTAATGTCTTAATTATTTAAAAAATATAGAGCAAAATGAAAAAAAAAAATAATAAATATTTAAAATTAATTTACTATAATTTGCAAGAATGACTCGCTCTCTTATTTTTGCTCCGTAAATCCGATAATAAAATACATTTTTTGGTTTTTAATGGACAAATGAAAGTTCATTGAAGACGTTGACGGAATTTTATTCGCAAGTGTATCTAGTTGAAAAGAAAAATGAATCTCTTTATTCTTACGGTTGGTATGTAGGGTAACACTTCTATGAGCGTGCTTTTATAAAAGTGCGCCTTTTGTGCCGGATCCTTCATGTTAATAACATCGAGAAATTGTAAAGCATGTACTGCCGGATCACTGAAAATATAAAGATTAAACGTTGCATCATAGAATGATGAAATTTTAATACAATTTAATAATTCATGAAAATATTACTATGAAATATCAAAATTATTGTGCTAGTTTTTTCTTATATATCGAGCGTATTAATTAATTGCTTAGAATTCTTTTAAAATTATTAAGAATTGACTGACACTCGATGTTAAAGCGCGCACACACGCACGCACGCACACACACACACACACACACACACACACACATGCATATATTCATGTACATATAATCGATGTTTGTGATGGGAGTCATGTGTCAACGGTATAACTATGCATTTTGAATGTTCAAAAGTGTATAATACCGAATCGTCTGAGACTTTTCGTAAGTAAATATTTTATATAAGAGCTTATGTTTATATTTTATCAGTAATAATGTGACTTTTATATGTGTTCTAAGAAAATTCCCCAGTGATTCCCAAGTACGCCGATGTAAACATTACTTTAATACTTTAAAAGGCTTCTTGAGAGAGCATTTTCAATGTTTGGTAATATTATAATTCGCGTAGATCATTTAAATATTAAATGTAATTTTTTTTTATTTTTTTTATATTTAACTGTACTTTGGTTGCTGTAATGGAAAATATGAAAGTAAAGGAAGTATGAAGTAATATTTTTCTCCGACTAATATTATGATTTTTTTTTTTTTTTTTTTTTTTTTTTTTTTTTTTTTTTTTTGATTTTGATTTTGATTTTAAAAGCACCTGCATTTAAGAAATATCTTCAAAATAAATCTTAATTAATTAGAAAACTGAGTATCTAATTTTACTACTTTATCACATACGCTTAATTTCTTAGAGTGGATATCTATTGTATTCTAAAGTAGATAGAGTTTATCTCTACTTAAGTTCAACTGTGAATTGGTTATTAAAATACTATTTTTCTAGTGAAATTCAGTATGTCGCGACTCATTAAATATTGAAACCTTTGTACGAATGGACGTATGATATATTTTTCAATTGACCCAGATCTTGAAAAAAAAACATCACTTATGGTAAAGAAACGTTAAATTATGATTGTAAAATATTGCCAAAAAATTATTTATTTTAAAAGTACCATTAAATATTCATAGATGTTCATTCAATGGAAAGTATTGTAAAAAAATCGTAATAGTTCTTTTATTACATTTAAATTTTTGAAATAACATTTCATACATACGTAGTAAATGTTGTGAGTAATGGTTAATGAGACATTATTTTATTTGAACATATCATATTGATTATACAGAACATTTGCCACTAATGATTTTTCAAGTAAATGTAAATAGAGAGGCGACATATATTTTAATTTACGATCGTATTTCATGTTTAAAATATTTATGTGTGAGAATGCCCATCATTAAGTATCTAACCTTTATCTATCACAACATTATTTATTCATTATTAATAACATTCGAGAGAAATGTAAATATATTTATCGTAAAATAATTTGTACGTTAATAATTTTTTATTATGATGTCATGAGACCGTGTACGTAGAATTTACACGTTCCGCATAAGCAATTAATTTTTTTACCCTTTAAATATTAATCTAAATTTATGTAAAATGATCATTGAATATCTTAACTGATAAAACCTTCATTGTGCAAAAATTTAGTTTTACAATTTTTGTGCTAATGAATGTAACTCATAAAATTAAATGAAAATATTTAAAGAAATATTGTAGTTTTATGATGAATTTCAAATAAATTAACGAAGATTATAAAATGTGGCAAAATTATTAAAACAGTGTGAGACAATGTTGAAATTCTAGAAAATAATAATTCGTGAATTTCTATTTTATATGAAATTTTTTATTATCTATTTTATATTTATACTTTTCCTTCAAAATTATTTTCCACTTCGACATAATGTAATTCAATTTTTATTGTTAACAATATTTATTGTTTATAGAATACGCGTAGATATTTAATATTCAATGGATTTAATGATAATTCAGTGTATGTATGTTCGTTGACTTTGCGATGAGAAATATAAAGCAGCCAACTCTAAATATTTAATGAGAAATTTGTGTTTTTAAATGATGATTATCTTAATTATATGTCAACGTAAACATCATAAGAATTAAGAAATTATAATATAAGATTTGAGTAGTTTCTATAAGCTACGAGCTTACTTCAATAATCAACAATAATACGAGAACAATTTTCTTTTTTTTGTTTTTTTTTTCTTCTTTTAATTTAATTAGCTTTTATTACGTGAAATTTATTGTCTAATATGTTTTCTAATGTGCGCAAGGATGATTCGAGGTATTGATTTATTTTGTAAATATTTGATGAATACTGATTTAATATTGCTGATTTCTAATTAAATGTTACTTCGATTAATATTATTATATTAATTAGTCATTCTAGAATAAATAGTTAATTATTTATTTCAACATGAGATTGTTGCTGCCGTTACGTAGTGGAATTGCATTAAATGTTTTCGAATGCTTGTTCATGCTACATTTGTTATTGAAATATCACGGGGATTAAATAAGAATCGTAATATAAATCTTCATACTACATATTGCGATAAATAGGTCTCATTTATTTTGATTTGAACAAAGTAATAAGAGAGATGCGATCGGTCACGCGTTACGTATTATCGATTTAGCAGTTATGGGTTGGATCCTGATGGACGATGATCAATGATTTTTCAACAATATTTTATCAAGACCTTTTCGTGGTCCCTAATCGAATGCTCTTGCGGATCCGCTTTTTGATCGTCTATTAGTGGATTACTATTGTCGAAGCTTTTATCTTCGTTGTTTTCACGTTTCACATATACGAATGGCTGTTAGTTGGAAAGAGTTTGCGATGTTCGCGTTATGTTTTTTTTTTTTTTTTTACGATAGTTGCTGTGACTAAGAAAGACGATTATCTTCGCGGAGCGAATAAAATTTTCGATTCATTGAACATTTTACTGTAATATTTAATCGATATCCTATTGTTTATAATACCCCTCCTCCCTCCCAATCCGTGTAAATTACTTAGCCATACTTATTTCAGCATTGTATTTACACTATAATTTAACGACGCAGACGCGTAAAATTAAATATCATTAGAAATTTGTGACTAAAGATTTTGATTAAACAACGAAAAGTATGGAGGTCAAGTGGATGAGTAAGTATAAGAATAGACAATTAATGCTTTTCGCCTACCTGAAATATTTAATTAATGACAAGAGTTGAGCTGCTGGCCTTTGCTTAGGTTCCTTGTGAAGGAGCCTCGACACCGCCTCTTGCAAAGGTACAGGTACATGTGGCAGCAGATTATGAACCTGATCCTCTAACTGCAACATAATCGATGCAGAAAAGTCTCGCGTTTTTTTACTTGGTCTCTCAAGCTGCTTAAATTACTTGAAAGCCACAAAAAAAATAGACTAAAGCAGTTTAATCTCGTGCATATTATAATGTCAGTTTAGTAAAAATTAAGGTACATTGGAAGTAAATGATTTGCTTGTTCTCGAAAGAGTCGATGCCACTGATTTAATTGTGATGAAAAATAAGTTTCTTCATTCACACGAGCATCATAAATAATATTGATCAATGCGTGATTACTTTTCAATTTCATAGTTCTCTAGTGGAAATGCCTATAATATCGGATACAGCATAATCATATAATGAGCTTAAATTAAAAACTATTAATATTTTAAGGACATATTTAATTAAAATGTTCACACCATATTATAAATTACTAGCTTCATATAAAAAAATGAAATAGCTTTATAAAAATAATAGCAACGGAAATATTATTATTATTATTATTAAGTATTTAGCATCTGTAGCAATTGAAGCATTTCTTTTTCCCTTCATTATTACCAAGTATTAACATTTTCAAATATGTTTTTAGAAATTATTATATACTTAATATGTTGCTAGAGACGTTGGGTCCATAATTAAAGTGTTTTATTGTCTTCATAAAGTCATTTTATAGTGATAATAAATTGTTAATTGCATCGCATATACGCAACTAATTTAATTTTTACTCAAAATGAGTATGATTTGAATTTATAGCTCTAATGAATATCTGCTTAGAGTTATTTAACATTTTAAAGCTATATCCAATTAATTAAGCTGCTATTATTTAATCCTTTATCCTTAAATTATATATATTTTATATCTTATCGTAATTAATAAAATTTTTGACGTACTTGAGAATAAAATAAATACAATGAGAATAGAAAATAAATTTTTAAGAATTGCTAAAGTATGGAAAATTTATTAGAATTTTCACACACGAAGCTTTAAAGTATATACAAAGTGTCGTCTGTGACCAGTCAAGTAGAACGAAATTCTCTATAGAACAAACGATTTGGAACAATCGATACATGCATGGTGTTTAAGTTGACGTTAATAAACCATAAATACTGGTGCTATTTCTCGTGGAGATGTGAACAACGAAAGATAATTTTCAATTTTTATTTAAAACAAAAGAGAGCCAGATATTTATAGTCAAATGAATTATTTTTAAGAACGACAGTAGAATAGTTTAGTTTAAACATTATTTTTCTTTTTTTTCTTTTTGATAATTGCTCGAGTCAGAACATTTGTTGAGGAAGCTTTATGTTTAATAATATTCCTTAGGAAGTTTAACATGTATGATAATAATAATTACGTTTCAACCATTATAAACAATTTACCAAATATTATTCATAATATTCGCAAGTAAGAGATATTCATAATACGATTATGCATTACATTAACTAATTAACATAATAATAATAATAATAACTGTTTTTGTGATTTACCTTAAAGAAAAATTTAAAAAAAAATTAGTTTAGATATTTAAGTCAAATAATGTTTGAGGTAGATACCGTTTCCATCTGTTTTAGGTATTCAGCAACATTGTAATTTGCCTGAATAAGAGGTCGTCCGCGATTGAAAATCGAGCAAATAAGCATACCCAAGCTGTACATGTCGCTAAGGATGCTGCCACTTTTCTTTTGTTGCACCTCCGGAGCTAGAAATTAAAAACAGTTACCGTTTATCTTATTGGTATAGTTCAAAATTTCTTTAAAAGATGTCGAACTGCCGTATTTATTAATAAACAGTGGATCCTCCTATGTAATCAATTACATTATGGTTCATGAAATCTTTAAAAATAAACTTATAAAGCATATTATCAAAAATTTAACGTAAATTAATTTCACATGAAATTAATGATTATTGTTTATGTTTGATTAAAATTTACTATTTTAATATAATTATTGTTTTCTTTATCACTATCATTAAGTCTATAATTATTGTTTTTGCCCACAAATAAATTCACACGCACCCACAATGCGCAGGCACACACGCGCATTTATATGAAATGCATAATCTATGGAGAAAAATTGTGTATCCATCGTATTACATCAAAGAAATCTTTATAAATTCAAATTTACAATTAGAAATAATAAAAGCTATTACATATGTTATCTCTATTAAATATTTAATTGTATTGGTATTTACCGATAAAATCAAGATTTGGTTGTGTTATTTTTGGTACTCGATTGATCCATGGAGGAAGTGAAACTGGACCGGTTGCGTCTCGTTCATTTACCGTTTCTAAAAAATAAAAGAATTTTCTTTACAACTATCTACGATTATAATTGACTAGAAAAGTATGAGAATCGAGAAAATCATTCCCATGTCTATTTTAACGTATAATATTTTTTGTACTAATGAGCTTAATAAATACTTTGTAATTATTATCTATAAATAATATATGCAATCTAATTGAATAATTCTAAAAGCAGAACATTGTTACAGACAAAATAAAAAACAGTCTTTTTATTAAAAAATATTTTTAGCCCAGTAAATTAATGAATAATATAAATATCAATTTAATAATGAATGATACATGCAGAGAAATTATAATAAATATCTTACAATTATTTTAATCGAAACCAATATTCAGCATTTGTGTACTTATTCAACCGAAGCTGAATACAATTACGTTTTATATTGTGTGGATATATGTATATAATAAAGTTATAATATATTGATAATAATACTTATTATTATTATTATTATTATTATTATTATTATTATTATTATTATTATTATTATTATTATTATTATTATTATTATTATTGGAAATATTGATTCACTTATGTGTTTGTAAATATTATTAATGATGTTACTTAGGATGTATGAAAATAAATGGGTATTTAATGAAATATAAACGTCATGTTATTAAATGGATTTGAAGATAACTAAATATTGTTGATAAATAAAAATTAAAAAAAAAAGGATATATTTAATAGGAAAAATTAATTTTTAAATGATTATTAAGTAAAAAACTTTAGTTTAACGTAATCATTTAATGTAATCATTTTTTATTGTTTACTGAATCAGAATTAACTCTCAATGTATTAAAATATGATACGTAAAAGTGTCAGCAAATATTGAAATTATTTTTTAAACATCATCGATATTTCAAAATATTGGAAAAATGTTAAATAATATTTTGTAGAAATTATTTACTAATAGAATTTCTAATATTATATTATTCAAAAATTCTTAAATCTGTGCTTAGTATCATTGTTCTTATACTCGTAACCTAAATCAGACACGCGTCTAATGAATATCGATAGCCTAAGAGTTTTGTTAAAATACTTATTAGAAAAAGACAAGATGAAAATATATGTATATATATATATATATATATATATATATATAGTTGTAAAAAAAGAAAATATATAGGATAACTATGTCATCAAATTGTATTTCAAGATAATTTGCGTTTTATATGAATAAAGTTACTATGTAAACTTATATGAAATAAAGTTTTATCATACAAGTTGTAAAATGTATTACGAGTTTTTCCAATTTACAGACTTACATACGAGAAAAATATTTTATATTTTTCAAATATATTTATTACAAATTAAATATTAAAGACTCAATCTATTTTTATATTCTATATCTATGAAGCAGTGAAATTTTCAAATTCTACATAAATGTTACATAAACTTAAAAGTTAAAAATAGGTAATTTGTCTTTCTTTCTTATTTAAATTTTTTAATCAATAAAAATAAAAATAAATACGAATACTATGTAAAAATCATAATTAATAATTTATATCTATATTATTTTGATATCGGTTGTCAGATACTTAATTACATGAATTCTATGAAACTTCACTTTTACTAAAAAATAGAGGAGAACATAAAAATGAAAATTGTCAATAGGAATACTTGTTTATAGAAATTATACAAAAAATGGTCTAAATATTATTTGAGTAATTACTTTTAAAGAACGAGTTTTTACTGACAGGACTAATTTAAATAAACATTAACGGATAATTGTCTAAACCAAAATAGATATGATTAATTTTGTTTTAAAAATTATGAGTAAATATTTCATCTTCTATTAATTACAATATATTTTAATGATTAGTCTTGTAAATAAATTATAAACATATTAATGAATATTGTGAATGTTCGTAAACGTACCAAGTTCTTCTTTCATTGTTTATAATATAATTTTTTTTTTCAACACTTTTAATTAAATATAATTTTTTTTTTAATTTATATTCAATTAAATATGTGTATAATAATTTTTCAAATACATAATAATAATAAACAAAATAAACACGGGTTTGCTTTTATTTTAAGAGATCGTCATGAAATATATATGACATTTTGAAAGTAATTTTATTATGAACTTTTTACTAAGTTATTAAAATGTTGATCAATATTTACACAATGTTTATATAAATTAATAAAAATTATGATGAAATTACGTAATCACTACACTCTTTTTAATTAATGAAATCAATTTTGAATGATATTATAAACCTAAAGACGAAGATAACTTATAATTGGTAAATTTATGAATATTTAAATAATTATATTTTAATATTGCTATACTTCAGTTTTGCAACCGCAAATGTTTATTTGAATATATAAAAGAAATGTTATTTTATATTAATATGAGTAATTTTCAATTATTTCTAAAAGAATTATTACTTATCCATATTGTCGTTATTTACTTGAATTAGTATAATTTTAATGTTTTGCCTAATTATAAGGTAAAAAATCAACAAGACAGCTTTAATTTTTATCATATGTCCTACAAATTAAATAGAATGAAAAATCTAATCGTTTAATTATTGGGTTCTTATGTGAAATCAATAGTGAAAAGATGTATATCGATGTTCATCATATGTTGCCAACTTGGATCACTTTGTGAATATTCAAAATTGAGATTAATCCATTCAATCGATATAATAGACGGCATAGTTAGATATTTAAATATAATTTAATATATTTTACATTAAAGTTGATAAAAGTTTATTTTGTAGTAAAGTTAGTTCTTATTTGAATTAAGAAATTTCTTTAAAATAGACATTAGTAACAGCTGCTTCGTTTAGAGATTTTTTATTTCCCCATGAAAATGAAGTTTAAAACTATATATAAATATAAATATTTTATTAAAGTCTATAATTTTAATAATTATGATTGTATATCCTAGAATTAAATATAATTAATCAATCGCCAGTCTCTATAATAAATAATTAAAATAAAACTGTAATCACTAAAGCAATCATGTGCGTATCACATAAATAGCGCGATATAATATTATAATAATTCTTTATAGTAATTTTATAATAGTAAATATTGCTGTCCCGGGAGAATGGCCAGGTAAGCCAATTTTTAAGATCGCGATTCTGAGTTGTTGGATTGGTTAGGCCGAGGCGCGACTCGTTCTCGTCACTCATCAACTTACTCGAGTTGCTCGACGAATAAACGAGTTAATTAAGTTGCAAATGCAACTTATTCGCATCCCTTTTCTCGGGTAGCATTGCAGCCAGCCGCAGACGTCCCAAATGCTTATGCTTGACGTGCATTACCGAGCTTCCAAAGCTCCAACGTATGCTTCCTTGCACTCTGAGGCTTGCCACTGCCGAGCAAACGGACTCTACGGACGTTGGAATGTGTGCGAGTGCACTCCACACCGTGAGCGGATATAGGGAAATAAAACGTTTGTGCAACGGTGCACGTTGATTATGTAAATTATACATAGTCATGCATGAATGATAATTAATATAGGTTTTATAAATTAGATACAAAATATGTATTGGCGTAGGAGGGCTGATTTTGCAAAGGCAAGTAGATTTTTAAAATTTGCTTTAAAGATGATTTTATATTAATAATGATAATGGAATGTTATAATTACTTAAGCGCAGTCTTTATTTATACTTATTCGCAAAAGTTATATTACAATACCGTGGCATAAACTTCTATCAATTTTAATATTAGAATTCTTCGTTCACGGAATTAATTCGATAAATTCGACTCCATGATTTTTTTGTTTCAATCGAGACTTGCAATAAACTTTCTTAAATTGACCTTAAAACAATATTTGTCTTTGCCAGTGGATTAAGGTCAAGGTTATAAGAAAATTCTTATGAGATATATTTAATTTAATTTCACAGAATTTATTTCTATTATTTTTTTCATCCTCAGCCATTATCTAAAATGCATATTGTTTATGGAAATTCATAAATGTAAGCATAATTAATTGTTTTTTAAATGGGATTCCTTTAAGATTATTCAAGATTAACCGATTATAGATTGAACTAAAGCTTCCAATTGTTTGGTGAAATTATTGAAATCAACTTGTAATTTTACATTTTAATAGTCTCTCTTATATTTAAATTTTCAGCGAGTAAATAATAATTAGAAAAATTGTATTTTAAGTATTTTTATATTTCTTCGTAAATATTATGCTCTATTTAAGTTAATATTGCAATTTATTAAAAATTTATTGATTTAGGATAATAATTCTCTATGACTCTTCAATTCTATAAAAATATACAGACAAACATAAAAGTATTTTATTTACTACTGTTTTATACTGGGTGAATGTTACTATATTACTGTATTTCTATATAAATACAGTAATGTCAATAGATATAAAACACATTTTTAATAACCCAAACATTAATAAATATAAATATATTATAAATATATTATATAAATATAAATTTATTATATAAATCATCGTACAAGAAATAATATATAATATTTTGCTTGACTTAAGATGGAACAGCTAATAATATTATATTCGAATTATAATGAATTATATTTAATACTAAATGATATAGTAATAATACTTCATGATAAATTTAAATGATGAATTATGTAGAATTTGATTATTCCTCATATTAGAGTTTGACTGCTCAAAGCAATAGTCAGTTAGATAATGATTAATGTTTCATGAATTAATTAGCCAATCATTGAGCTAATTATTTTTTTTAGTATTTATTATATTTTTCCTTTTTTATCGAAAATCGATTATAATAATTGACTTAATGCAATCGACAATATATAATTAAAATTTAATGGAGGAAAAGCCTTTGTCATTAATAATTTATTCAGTATTATTAACTTCACTTTTTAAAATTATTCACATATTTCTTGTATTAACATGAATTAATGGCTTACGTTGAACGAACACATTTAAATGTAAAATACACTTATAAGTTTAAGTATCGCATATAATCTATTATAATTATATTATAATTTAATATAATAGCACCTAAATTAGATCAATAATTATCAGAAAAAGCTTGATTAAATTAGATAGATAATATCTATAAAAACTTTAAAAAAAGGAAACTGAATAATGTTAAGAAACGTCAACGAAAAACATATTATAGTTTTACTAAAAATATTTTCAAGTTTTATCGTAGGTATTAAATATTATAAAAGGCATTACAAGTTCATTCGAAAAATTTAAACTATAACCTATAGAAATTGCCAATGAATGAAAAAACTTATTATGAAAATAATGATTAATCAGAGAATATTTATTAATAGAATCAAATTAAAGCTTTGAGTATGATTGGTTTATTTATGTAAAAATCAATTATACAGTAATATTTCGTATTTCAAATTATCATATTTATTGAGAAACTATTCGAAGAGAATTATAATACAGCATTTAAATTAATAATATAGTTTATAAGAATTTAAGATACTTTAATATAGATAAACATGAATTTTCAATGTTATGAATATTTAAATCATAATTTAGATATTTTGCGAATGATTGCTTGCTATATTAATTTGATGCAACAATTTTGTATTCGATTGGTGATCTTAACAATTATAATCGATGATTTTAATTTTCATATCATAATTTTTATATAATATATATCTGAAATAAAGAAAAATTATTTTATAGAGCTTATGTTTAATGTAAATTAAATATTGTTTGTTTTTTTTATTAAATGTTGATTATTTTTTAGAAATATAGCGAAAAATCTATAAATTTTGTGTTATTGTTATTAAAATAATTAATTGATTCTATATGAAGCGTAGGTAAGATAGTATATATGTGTGTGATATTATTCTTGAAATTACAAATTACCTGCCATATATAATGTTTAAAAAATGCTAATTAAATTAAATATAAATTCGTATTTTCAATTACAAATTCTGACATGAATTAAAGTAAATTCAGTGAAATATTATTTTGAAATATTTTAAAATCCTTACTTTTGAAAATATGGCAATAAGTATTCTTAAATTTGTGCAGTAACTTTCTTTTATTTCTATTCGTTAGTTGATGGTTCATTGATTCCATATCTTCATACGCTTTAAAATGTTATTAACAATAAAATCATATTACTCGTAAGTCTTTGGATAATTCATATATCTAAAAAATATAAGTTATTCATTGACTCAGAAAAGTTAAGTATATGATTAATTTTATAATTAATCTGTATAAAATATCTATCATAAACTTAATAATAAAATGTACACAATTAACAATTTAATAAACTTTGTCACTGCCGATAAGTTGATATTAAACAGTAAATTTCATTGAAAATTGCCGTAATTAATTCTAAATTTCGAAACTATAAGGAAAATTTTCTAATTTTATAACTATTATTTGAACATTATAACCTTAATTTATTATATGAATATAAATTAGCAATAGTTAAAATGTCTGACACTATTATAGTTTTAATATAATATACAATTAAATGACCTAATATTATTTCAAGAAACATCAGGTAATTACCAAATAATGGATGAATATTGATATTTTTCCAGTTAATACTTAACTGTTGCAGTCAATAATTAATTCTTCAACTCTGCATATTTATTACTGTTAAAATACATAAACAATATTATCCCATACAAAATTGCAATCCCCTTAATATACATCCTAATTCAAAAATATTATTTTCACTACAAATATATTAGAAATTTATAACTATAGTATTAATAATTATAGTAATCTTATGTTTTATCAATATTTTATTTAATCGTATAAATTTCAAATAAATATTTCAATAGTATTACAATATAACGTATATTATGTAACTTTTAAATTTTTATTATCCATAATATTTAGTTGGTGCACTTGTTGTTTATTGAATTTTCTTTTAATTTGACGTATACTGCAGTTTCCCACATGCGAATATATAACTTTGAAATAAATATGAACTCAACAGTACGAAAAAAGGAAATACTCTTATTTTGTAAAAAGCTCGCATTCAACTGGTAAGTCGATATTTTCTCCGTCATTGAAGAACTTACAGTTGTGATATAATAAAGTTGTTCCCGTCTATTTCAATCGCACGCCTCGCTAATAACAAGTCCGACTAACTATAAATCAATGAACACACACACACACACACACACACACACACACACACATATATATATATATATAAAAGCTCACCTATGAATTCGAATCCAAAAAGCTTCCAAGTACCCTTTTTGGTAATTATAATGCTACTGGGGCAGACGTTCCTGTGCATCAAGTGGCAGTTGTTGTGTAAGAAGGACAGAGCCTCGGTGCACTGCAGCAAACCGTACTTGATCTCAATGTCAAGCATATCGTACTCTTTGACAAAATTGGCTTTACCGCCAACCATCTGTTGGTTGCCGAAATGTTGGTGGTGCTGGTGATTCATCGCCGTGGCCTCCATCAACTGTCTCTGTTCATCCGCGGCAAAAATATTGGCGAGACTGGCGAGCACCGGCTCCGAAACAAAGGCCAGCGTGTCCGAACACTCCTCCACGGTGTGCACAACCTGAGTTGTGAAAAGCACTACGGAGTCAGTAATCCCACACCATTTCATACATTTATTATACAACGGTGCTTTATCATGGCAAGTGCGAGTTCTTATGAGTTGCAATTAAGCTTGAAAGGAGATCACATGCTTGAAAGAATGTTTTCTGATGTTTGTTTGGAGAGTGGGAGAGAGAGAGGGAGAGGGAGAGAGAGAGAGAGAGAGAGAGAGAGAGAGGGAGAGAGTCGGAAAGGGTGGGATGGTTCGGTGGGAAGTGGGGGTAAAAACTTCAAACATTTTCTTATTCAAATCTACTTTTAATTAACTTTCATAATAATTCGACCTTTATGAAAAATGAGGAGTTTAAAAATTAAGTCTAATATTATTGATCATAAAGAATCGATAAACTTAATTAATTAATGTACTGACATTTCGAAATACTCCTCATAAACGAATGCATGTTTCAAACATATAAATTAGTATTCTGGTTCAATTCAAAGTACATCATTGTATACTTGGAGAATGAAGTAAAGAGTTTAATGGAAAAGTCAATAATAAAGAATAATTTATTAATGTTAATAATAGTGATTTTCAAGGGTTAAAAAAATCTTAATCTTTATGATCCGAGGAATATGAATTGAAATCTAAAAGATATTATTTTTGTATCAGTCGACACACATATTTAAAATTTTTTATTTAATTAATGCTATAGTATAAATTATTTTGTTGAGTTTTTGCAAATAAAGCTCCTATATTTTATTTATATATATTAAACAACGTAATATGATGAAGTCTATATCACAAACTTTCAAGTAAATTAATTTGAAAAATGTTGACGGATGAAATATAAATTTTATATTTAAAATAAATTTTAAAATTAACACGTAAATTAGATATTATTTTCAACAATATCAATTACGTGTCATCAGTTATTTTTTAATACAGTAAATCACAATTTTTATTCATGAACTTTCTACTTACAAATTTAGTACAATAATTTTTTAGTATAGTAATTTAGTACAATAATAATTTTATTTTTTATTTTACAAAGCGGCCCACAAGAGTGAGACATATTTCTAAAGGAATCCAAATAAAAATTAATAAAAATTTTTTTCGAAAAGGTTAATAATATACGGAGATAGTAAATAAATATAAATTCAAATAATTACAAATACTCTTTTACACGTTTATAACATGTCAGTATATTAAATTGCTTATTTCTATCATTTAATATAATAAAATCAATTAATTCCACTATTCGATTCTGAAATGAATCATTAGAAAAACAAATTATTTAATGGATTAAAGAAGAGGTTATAATTTTTAAAATAAATAAACAAAATTTACATCATAAATTATTTACTGAACGTAATACTGTTTGCAGTCATGAATAATACTCAAAGTAAACAAAATTTGGTCGTCTTTTGTAGTATTGAATTTTTTAAAATTAATTTAATTAATAATTACTGAAAATTATAAGAATTAACAATTAATAATTTAATAAATAACAAATTTAAATTCATGGAGTATTGGAAATGAAATATTCTACCCAATTACCCAATTTATAATGCGACTTCTAGTGCAATTATTATATACATAAATTTAAAATTTTTTTGCATACATTATATAATTATCTAAGAAATATGTTTTCGATGACATGAAAAGAGCGATTATAAATGGAATATTGATGTAGAAAATAAATAATATAATTACGGAAAAAAAAACATAAGCATTTATTTAAATATTAAAAGTTTTATTTAGTGGCTCAAAATATATAGAAAATAATCATCTTTGAAAATGACAGTTTATAATGATATATATAAGCTATTGATAGTATTGTGTGTAAAATTATATTTTTATTAAATAAAACTTATATTTATGGTATTGATTAAAATAATGTAAATAAAATGCATTTTTGATCTTAAAACCTGTAAGATTTTTGGATGTCGAAAACGTTCCAACTGACGAACTCCGACTCGCAACATCTCCGTAATAGTTTCTTTTCTTTTAGGTTTGCAAATTTTCTCCACAGTACGTTTCTCGAACAAAAATATAGACACTTCCTGAAATAAATAAATAAACATATGTATTGTAATAATTATATAGTACGTGATGGAATACTCGAACAGTTATGTGAATGATTTTTTCGAAATTTCATTCTTTTAGTACTCCACATGGTTATATTAAGTAAACTTTTATCAAAAAACTTCATACCATATATATTGTTCAAATTCATTTAAGAAAATTAATGTTAATTTCAACATTCTTTCTCCATTAGTCTAATTGAATTATAAATTGTCTCACAAACCAAATCCATGTTACATTGTTAATAATATATACCTACAAATTGTAACCGAACATTGTATGAATTTTTCTTCAAAATTGAAGTTTCAATTAGTTCACATACCAAAGTATTAATAACTAACTAACAAGTAAAATACTTCATGAATTAAGACTGTTAAGAAAAATTAAAACTCAGTGTACAAATGAATGTGCCATGCGAATAAAATATTATAGGAGAACAGGCGACCATTCTTTATCTATGATAAACAAAAATGTTTGTAAAAGTTTATAGTCTTTTTTTTATTATTGTATTATTAATTTAAATTCTACATTAAGTAGTACCACGAGATAATTGTGAAAATCGTATGCGAAAATATGAAAATAGTTTTAAGAACCAAAGCTATTGGAATGGTTAGCTAATAATTAAACTTATTATATTTCAATTATTTTTAACTTGGAATTGCCTATAATTAATACGTGATATATAAAGTCCGTGAAAGCATATGGAATTTATAATAAATTTCATCTGTAAATAAAATAAGCGCGATAATATAGTTTTGAAAACGATTCATTTCGCGATAATTATTGTATTGATTTCAGGATAATTTGAGTATACTGTCATCAAGTAAAAACAACAAGTACAAAGCAAAATATAAAAAATATTTCAATTAAAATTATACACAACACTGAGACAGTTAATATGTATGTTATATTTTTCATGTTTACTCGTTTTTAAAACATCGCTTCATACTTTTAAGCTTTTATAATATTCACTGCAATTATGTAGAAACAATGAATTGTATTTAATTAACTAATCGCTAAATTTGCAACACAATACATTTTGTCACTTTTCTTTTAAAGAAGTAACGCTTATAAGAATTAGCAATGAATACAGTTATACTTAATAAAATATGAATATTTATATAGTTTACTATTTCTTAGTTCGCGTGTTAAGATAATATAAATTTCGAAGAATTAAAATTATTTCAATGCATTATATTCGATATTAAATAAAACAAAAATAATTAAAAAAAAAAATAAATAAATAAAAACAAAAAAAAAAAGATTTTTTTTCGGGACAAATTTATATTATTTTGAAGAAATTGATATACTCTACATATATTATTTAAAATAAAATAATATATTTATAGAATTTATAGTAATTTATAGTAATAAAACGTATTCTTTAGTAAAATAATAACAGTACAATAATAACAATACATAAGGATTGAAATTGAAGCAAATGTACAAATATTGAATATTATTAAACATTATTAAAAATAATATAAGTAATAGTCTGTTATTTAATATTAATGATATAATTAAACAAATAAAGTAAATGCAATTAAATTGTGCGTGTTTCTTATCGTATGAATTAGAGCAAACAAAAAACAACATTAATAATTACAATTATTAACATATTCTACAAATAATAATACTACAAATAAAAAATTTAAAATACAGGTATGAATGTTAACTATTCTTCGATGCTTTTTAAAAATATACATACAGTTACATAAGTATATGTTTTAAAATGTTGATTATAAATTATTCGAAGGTAAATGATTTTAGAAATATACTTAAAAATTGAATGTTAATGCCGTTACACTTTCCTTTTGTTTTTTTCTTATAAAGGATTTTTAAAATTTATTCACACATTTGAAACAGAGCTTAAATGAAGATAAGCGTGACGAGGGAAAGGATCCCCATATTTTTTAGTTTTTTTCGACGACTCTTAACCCTCTGTATATTTCAAGAATATAAGCCGAGAGCGGGACATTGAAAGGCAATAATTATTCTCGAAAGAGAGACGAAATTCTGCGTCTGTTTCACATGAAAATTTGCAGCATTTAAATATCGTTTACTAAATTTGTGGAAATGCGCACGGTTAGGGAATAATAGGAGTGCAAAAGAAGTTTCACCTATTATGAGCAAACTATTCCACATCAGAGAACAGAAAGTAGGGAAATGGAAAAAAATTATCGTCTACGTCGATGAATAAGATCTGATAATCACATTTGCATTACCTCGTAAAGTCGGGAATGATTTGCGGTGTTGTAGATTTTTTATTGAGGTATGGTACGCGGATTCCCATTTCAAAAGCAAATGGAGCAATATATTTGTATTTGTAAGAAATATATAAAACTGTTTTAATTTTAACATTGACAAGATAAGTATTTAAGATATTTTTAAATTGTATATTTTTTATGTTTGTACGACGCAATTTCAAATTTCAATTTCGTAGAATTCAATTTTTTATAATTATTCGTTATAGTTATTAAAAACATATGTATATGTATGTGTGTGTGTGTGTGTGTGTGTGTGTGTGAGGAGGAGGAGGAGTTTAATTAAAAAATAACAGAATATAAAAGATAATATGTTCAACATATTTTCTGTAAGAATTTAATTAACGAAAATAAAAGTTTTTTTAAGAAATCGTATATAAATTTTACCGTCGAACGTGCTCACACAGCATTATCAATAAATACCAAAGGAAAGAAAGTAATCGATATTTTGTAATTAGACTAATAGGTAAATTGGCATTCTTATATAAAAATTATATTTTAAAATACATGTACTATTTACTATATAACATATACCGTGAGCAAACTATTGCTTTCTAATAATATCTGACGACATTTTTTAATAACTCTGTGAAAATTAATATAATTTAATAGAGTTGAATTAATATGATTCAGAGCAAGTATTTGATATAATATTTATTGAATAAATGGAATGAAGAATCTGAATACTTTAATAGCTGTAATAATTCTTTTTAAATCTCAATCGCTTCGAAAAACATGTAATCATGAATATTTATAGAACGTATGTCATAAATTTTTAAATTAAAACAGTTGTTAAATCACGTATATATTAGTAATTCAATAATTATTGATATTTCTTTTAATTACAAAAGTAATAGAAAATTTTTAGAGTAAAATCTAATTAATGTGTTAATACATACCTATGTATTATTTTAAAAATTATATTTAATTAAAAAATTCGCACTATCTATATTATAATTATTGTATATAATACGTAACATGTTGGGATATATTATTGTATTTAATTTTATTTATTATTATTTTTTTTTATCAGAATTCGTTTATTTATCTTATTTAATTATTTAACAATAATTGTCCGTTTGATTTTATGATAGAATGTGAGCATAGAATGTGTAAATTTTATATTACAAGACTCTAGTTTATAATTAAGGATATAATATATAGTCCATGGATATTTATAAATATTTAAAGTCTTTTATAAATTGTTTTGCATATAGAATGGTGTAAGAGCTTTATAATTAAATAAGAGAATTATTGTTTATATTTCGCAAGCTAAATATTTTTCTGTAAGTTCTTTCAATAGTATATAAATTATATAAATTTTATATTATATATTTTTTTATCATTAATATAAAAGAATAATTAATATAATATTTATATTTAGAGATTGAAAACATATAACATTGGCATTTTCATAAATGCAGAGTTGAATGTATAAAGCTATTTAGACGGCGATTCATTTGTTTTCTTGAAGATTCAACTGATATTGATGTAATTTATAAATATTTTCGAAATTTTTCAATAATGTTCGATAAAATCCGATATTATCAATATATATTATCAATCTGTGTAAGAACGTTCGAAAATAAGAATTCTATAGACTTAAAATTTTCTTACACATCTGCCTATAAGATAGTCCTTCATTCGAAAAAAATGTTTGTAAAAAATTATATATATATATAATAAGAAGAATTATTATTAGTTCACTATTTTCACTCTATTATTAATATTATTGTTAAGAGTAACGGTAATCACATAAATTCATATATACGAATTATTAGTTTTATTTATTTATTTACATCTGTATATAGTAGAATATAATAAAGTTATAGTAAACTAGACAATAAAATAAAGTAATATAGGAAAATTTTATATCGATAGGGATTAGGAATATTGATTGCCTAAATTTAGATAATTAAGAGATTAGAACACTAAAACCAAAATGAATTTTGAGTATGAACTGTTCTGTATTTATCAAACGGGTTGTATAAATTGTAGAAAAACTTAACATAACTGACATTAATCTACATAGTTTATGAAAAACTAGTTCGAATAAATTAATAGAAAGCAACATTATCATTTATAGGGAAAGCTTATGAATATTTAAATAGCCAATTAATATAGTGTATGATAAAAAAAAATTTAGAGAAATAATATAATTATAAGGCGTATTCGATTAGTACAATAGTCAATATGATTAACAACGATTATCAATTTTCTATTATCCAGATACTTCATTAAATTCCGTTTATTTACGTTAGTTATAACATTAAATTTTAATATCTGTATTTTACATACATTGCGGTTCAAGAATGATCGTGAAATTATAAGTTAAAATACGTTTAACGCACGTTTAATGGCTGGCTTTTCAGTATTCTGCAATCACAGTGAAAATTCAAGTGCTCAAACTTATATTAAATTGTAATGCTGGATATGGCATAGAAAGGCATAGAAGGCCAGTGAAAATGTAGAAAAATCCAGCAACATAGGACCAGTGCAGAATTAAAGAAACGTAGAGAAAAATATGAAATTCAATGGGAGCTGAAATAAAATAATGAGCCATGCTTTTTACGAGCAAAGCTGCCAAAAAGGATAAATGGCCTTATTAGGGAGAATGGGCCGCGTATAGCACAATAAAACAAACCTTCCTGTCGCTCTTTCTATATCCTTCAAGGATCCTCCACACATTCTCCGGGCCCGCCGTCGCCGACTGCTTACCAACTTCAAATTGGTTCAAGATTGGGTTGAATTCAAGAGCATCGGAGGGCACGGGTACCGAGGTCACCCCGCCGCCACTCTTGAATTTGGAGAACATCGTACGCGCTCCCATCCGAGCCCACGCGATCTATCTTCTCCTCTCGTCCTGAAATCAGATGCAAAGAAAACGTGACTTTGGAGCTGCGACCGTGGATTACGCAGAGGCGGTGATAAAAAATTAAAGGGCACATGTAATCTAGCGGCTCACCTCCCGCAATGACTTTATGCTCGGATGATTCGAAACTTGTCTCACCGTATAAGCTCGCGTGTGCTTTATATATTAAGAGCGATTTAATCGATTGGCGATTAGAATTCGAGTCAATAACGATTCGATTGTGTAATATCTTTGCACAATTAACTTGAAGAATAAGAGACTCGTTTAGTAACTGTAAACTCTATAGGTAAAATTTTGATAACAATTGCAAATACTCGATTATTGATGTTTATGAATTTACTTCAACTATATATATATATATATATATATATATATATATCAAGTGAAGTGAGGTAAATTGCAGGCAGTGAGTTAATATATGTAAAGGAATCTTGATTGAAAAATAGTATTATTCATTAGGATTCTTTTTTTTTAGTTTTACTACTTGAGACGAAGTTTCACACGAGAACCATTTTTCTTTTCTTCGTTATTGAGAAAAGAATGCTATCGAGTCGACAGTTCATGAATATTAAGCAAGCCGTTCTGAATTTTTCTTTATATTAAGTAGAGTAATGTAGTACTTTGTGGTACATTTTAATGGAGCTCTTTTATTATCTAAATAATTATTGTATAGACAATTAAGTTTTTACTAATAAGTCCAAGATATTTTAATATTATTAGAAATTATAATAATCTTGAACAAAATCAATTGAACTGAATAGTAAAAATATTAAACAAAAAACAATAAATCATAAATTTTCTTGTTTATATGATAATTCAAACAATTGAATAAAAAAATAATAATAATAATAATAATAATAATAATAATAACCGTCAGTTCATCTATAATATATATATATATATATATATATATATATATATATATATATATATATACAATAATAATACACATCGAACGGTCGATTGAAAATAAATAATAAATTTATTCAATTGTATAAAATGATGAATTTTGATCTTATTTGAGTATCAACGATCATAATACTCGTGAATATAATATAAAAATAATTATAACTACATTATATGGCTTTTCTGGAAGGTTTATTTACCTTTGTTATCTATCTACATCTATCTAACATTATTTATTATGTCTATTGAATTTTTTCTGAAACACCAATTTCGTGAATAAAAACTTTTAAAATAATGTCTCGTAAGATTTCTTGAAACGACAGACTCACTGACCAAATATTTTGAATTACATGATGTGAAGTGTATGCTCGATAGTACAAATGATTATTAGAAATTTTTTCGTTTCCTTCTTTTCCTTAATCTTCTTTTTTTTTTGTTCGTTTTTTTTTTTTTTTTTTTTTTTTTTTTGTAAAAAAATGTGCTGGTAAAATTTATGTTCGTAGAACAATGGGCTTTTATCATAATAAACGCAGGAAGTTTTATAATAAAGTAAAGTTTTGCAGAGAATAACAGTAACTCAGGAGAAAGTTGCCAAAGTTTTCCGATAATCCTTTTTTCTTTGCACTTTGTAGCTACGCCGAGTTATCGATCAGGTCAAAAGGGCTACTTTTAAGAAGCTAATACGATTTTACCTAAATCGTTGTTGTTTTTCATCTCTTAATTATAAGATCAAATTTATATTTTTCCCAGTATATTTCGTCAATTTCTTATTACTTGCTCTTGTCACTATTTTACATCTTTTATACACAATTGATTTTCTTAAATAAAACAGAATTATTTTCAATTAATTTACTAGCGGTTGTGATTTATTATTTTTTTATTTGTTAATTTGATAATTCATTATCGCCTTAACTATATTTAACAAATATTATTTTAATTTCGTAAATGTTGCACATTACCAATATTCAACAGAAGAAAATACGTATTCTATTTTTAATATGAGAAGCCCTCAAGAGGGGGACTAAGTGTGAGTTGGATAAATAGATACTTGGATAAGATAATAAATACTCAGTCAAGTAAGAAGCTAGAAAGAAAAAAACAAACACATCATACTTGCATTATATGCAAGAGCATGTAGGATAAATATTTACTTAATCGAAATAAAGTTCCCCGGAGAATGACAAGGGACTCTTTTTTTTTTTTTTATTCAACTTTCCAACGAGAGATATATAGGGAGCATTTAATATTCCTCATAGAATATTCTTTCATATTATGAATCTCATGCAGCATATAACTGATTATGCTATTCATAGCGATAATATATCAACTAATTTAAAAATTAAATGCAGTGTGAAAATTAAATATGGTTACGAGTATAATGTAGAATATATTTTGAAATTTAAAATGAATTTTTTTTATCGAATTTCGAATTTCTGTTAGTTTAATAATATTATAATTACAATTCGTAATTTATTCATATTATTTTATTCGGTTAATGTCTTCTGTTTTCGATTTTTATAAATAAATATGATGTAATAATTCAAGGATAGGTAGATGAATTTACGCTTTAGAAGCAACAAATTTTAATAAAATCAGGTTTAATACAAAACTTTTAAGCTTACTTATGTCTAACAGACATTTTGCCTTTATAAATTGAAGATTATAAAATTTCAATTTATTCTGTTCCTTTTACAATCTATTGTAATAAAAGTATAAATCAAATCTGGATTAGGAGTGACGTGAATAATACTTTATTTCATGTTGTTAAATTTAGTAAAAATTACTAAACATTTAATAAAAATTACTTTTAATAGAAAACTTTTTCTTACATAGATAAAGCAATAGAATATATAAAAATTATAATTAAAAATAAAAAATATTTAAATAATAGAATGATTGATTATAATTACGTTTTATTGTATTCTTAGTTCACCAACTTTTATCTAATCTATCAAATTTATCTTACAAATTAACAAATAAAGAAAATAAGTATACATTAGTTAAAGTTCAGCTCCATCATTTATAGTATCATAATAATCCTGGCATACCATCATCCTACCTTCTTTCACCAACTTCAAAAGTTGAAGTAGCGGTATTATATATCACGCAAGCATACACATTCATAGTTTTACACCTGAAACTTGCGTGTATAGAAAGGATAAAAGTTCATGATGAGTTTGTACGCACGTAATATCGCGATTCAAGTCGAAATCTTATATAATCAACGCACGTTTCAACTGTCAATAAACGTATGCTATGAGCAACTGATTGGCACTTGATTATAGGTTGACTCAAGGGACTATTGGCCAATAATACGAGAGAGAGAGAGAGAGAAAATAGAGAGAGAGAGAGAGAGAGAGAGAGAGAGAAAGTAGGACAAGAGAATAATAATAGAGAAATTTGTCTCTGACAGTACTTTTATAAAATATAATACATAATTGGAGAGTGCATGGCCTTTCTTTTTTCAGCTATGATTGATCGAATAAGCTGTTGACGTGTGCATCAATATTCGAATGTAACAATGATATAGCATATATCAGAATATATACTTTTTATTTGTATTCCTTATAACGATAGAACCTTATCCATCATTATGTAAAAACGAAGAAGAAAATTGTTTTTTACAATTCGCTTTTAATCAAAATTTCATTCTTCTCATATACAAACTAACTGTTTCAAAAACAACTAATATAAAATAAAATAATACCTCACGAATTACTTTACGAACATTTTGTTAATTCATTGTTTTCATAAATAAGCTAATCGGTAGAATTTTTTTTAATTAATTTTTTTATAGTTAAAAAATATTTTACGCATCAATTATTAAATTTAAATATAAAGTTTCCAACAAATTGTTAATTTTATATATATGAACAGTCTTTATTGATTTAATTCTTATATTATTTTATTATGTTTATTTTATTACATTTATTACAAGTGTTAGAAATTTATAGGACTACTTGTTGTATGATATTTAAATTCGTGTTTATTTATTTATTTATTTCCTCTATACATTGCATTAAAACTATATTTACAAAGATTTTTAAATTCCGATTAAATATTGAATTTACTTTATTTACGAGGAACATATATTTTTATGGAAATATATATATATATTTATGCATTTTTGGCTTAAAAAAAAAAATAGAAATAATTGCGATTACTTTAATTTGTGATTGATAAAATGGGAGTTAGTATTTTAGAAAATAATTTAAAAATTACTCATTTTATGAAAAATTTTTCTTACCTACATATTATATTTATGTTTATTTATTATTGAGATGCGGAGGAAGAATACTGAAAATACTTCAATAAAATATCCACATTTAGTTCTTTTGATGATTTTTAATTAATTTACTTTCCATTTTTATTTAAAAATGAAAAATTCTGTGAAAAATGAAAAATAAAATGCCGTATTTGTAAATTTTTTTTATATACAATCAGTTACAAAATATACATTGTCCCTTTCGACTTTCAGTCGTTTAAAAATTATAATATAATGTATGTGGAACATTACAATTTTATATAAATATATAATGACTAAAATAGACTAATAAAAAATAATAATAAATGAAATAACTTAATAAGTAAAAAATAATAAAATACGTAATGATGACAACGTTCGTATTTATTACAAATAATATTAATTATTCAACACTTTAATATATTATAAATAATCATTTATATTTTAAATATATAATACAATTGTAATATAGATAATGTAACGTCGTTACCATATAAGGATCGAATATATTATTATAATTTGAACGAAAAAATAAAATAGAAGCTCATATATAAAGAGTATTCATCATAAAAATTCTTATGTCAAATTTATATATTTGATTATGCGAATTGGTTTCTAAATTTATCAAAAATATTTATTGAAAATAATTTACAAGATAAAACAATTTCATATAGATACGAATCAATAATCTGAAACTTGATTAGGAAAATTAAACACCGACGATGTACATGTTGTCTTTTCTGTTTAATCAAGAGTAAGATGGGTGATATATTACGAGTACCTGAAGCTGACAGAAACGCTTACCATCCAACTTCATAGCGATTAA